CGTCACTCGTATAAATGAGCAGATTTAATGTTCTTATTTTAGTATAGAAGTCAATCAAAAGGCCTGAAACTTTCACAATAAACTTCTCGTGTTTAAGTCTGTCTCTATGCGAAATTTCAAGTTGAAATTTAAAAATGAGTTTTTCTGAGAGGGACTATGAGATTGATTTAGGAAGTGTAGTAGCTCCGCAGCAATAAGCTACAGGCACAAACTTTTTTCAAGATATACATAGCTCATTTGGTTCTATATAATCTTAACTTAAAAGCAATTTATCAGTCAGAGTACTTTTCTCGTAAAATTCTTTTTATTTATAACAAAATTTATTTTATTTTATTTTTCAATAGCTGCTCGTGCTGGTGGAGCGAAGAAAGGTAAACAAACAACAAGTCATAGTAAAGCAAAAGCAAAACAATGTAAGATTTAATTTTTAAAGAAATAAAAAAAAACAAATATTATGATAATTCATTTTGATTTTTAGCTGATGATAATGACGATGATGATTTCAAAGAAAATGATGGCGACGATGATGATTTAAAAGAAAATGATGGCGACGATGATGATGATGATTAACTTATTTTTTTTTGTTTTTTCTTGTATTATATTAAATTGTATATTTTGATTTGGTTATTTACTTTTTCTTTTGATGTTATTCTTTCTCTTTCTTCTTCTCTTAATATCCATTATTAGAAGATTTTGTTATGCATAATACTTTCATTTATTTTGTGCTTCATTGTGAAAAAAAAATTATAAACGGTTTTGTTTCTGTCTGAATATTGCAAATAAAAGATCTGTTAATGAAACAATTTTTTTTTTTGAAAAGGTTAATATTAATTAAAAATCATTGATATTTTTCTAATAGCAAGAAAATATTTTATCTTGATAAGAAAAAAAGAAACGTTTAATCGTTGATCGCACTACAATTTTGTATGAAGATCTTGACAGAAAAACAAATGAAAGAATTTATTTTCTATGATCCTTGTCATCCAATGGAAAAGAAAGATCTAGTTATATATGGAAAGTAATCAAATATTTGTACACAAAAATAGAATATAAACAAGTTGTATCGTAGGGTTTGTATACAGTACGGCAATAAAACAAGTAACGCGTCGGCTCTTTGAGCCTCGCTCAGCTCAACTCAATCCTGAAAGCTTGGGACTATGGTGTAGAGCATTGAGTATTCTATAACTAAACATATATTTCTAAATGAATCTGAAATAAAACCAAGTAATTTATTTTGCGAACGGAATTGCCAATAAGTATTAGAGTAAATTTTCTTTACAATAACATATAGTTTAAAATTCGTTTGTATTTAATATGTATTAATTATATGCTATTATTGGATACTCATGTTGGAAAGCATTTCAAAAAATTCTTTAGTTAAAAATGCTTGATGATACAAATATTTGTCACAAAACTTATCCAAGAAGAAAAACATTGATAAGACTTTCTCGAATAATCTAATTCATAGGTGTCTAAATGTTGTACTCATACTTGTCTACAAAGAAACTACAGATTTTTTAAATTTCTTTTTCAATATTGAGTTGTATTAAACAAATGGTAGAAAAAAACAAATATTTACAATTATAAAGAAAACAATGACAAAAAAACCTGTTCGATTATACTTTATTCATTAAATCTTTGATTGTTTGTTATTCTTCCGACAGACCTGATGTTATCAATATTGGTAGAATGCCCACATCAACATGACTAAAATTATTTCATCATTTAAAGAATGAAACATCTTTTGGTTTTTTTCTTCTCACGTAAGATATGAAATTTATTTTCGATTGAATTGTTGGAAGAATTAAAATTTGTATCTAATTCAAAAAGAACAGCATACAAATTTAATGGAAAATTAGTTTTATCACAGTCCGTGAAAAGCTCGTGCGTCTAGAAGGAAAAGTAGTGTTCTCAATTACTGGAAATTCTATAAGTCAAAGATCTCCACTTTTTATAATATAATTTTTATTATAATACGGGCATATAATGAAAAAATTCGCCGTCTCATATATGGGACATCCGGCGCGAAAGGTTTAAATAAATCACGATTAATTCAATAAGGGTATGGGTGTTATTCTTTTATTTTCTAATGGAGTCGAAATGTACCTAAAACGTCTCCCGTACTTTTATGTATGAATAACATAAGTGTGGAATTAGTGGTTGTTTATCAAGACTCCATATAAAATAATTTTACCTAATTCAAAATACCTCATTCGATACAGTTTTTAATGACGATTCTGAATCTAAAGATGGTTTTTATTGTTAATGGTAAAATATAAGAGTAAATGGTTGAACATTAGAAAACCTATACTACACAAAATGTGAAAAAAAGCAACATTTTTTTGTCCTTCGTCCTATTTGCATAGCAAATGATTCTCCCATAAAAAGTTATTTATATAGGTCGATAGAGCAGAAGTTCCTCTATCGAACTATATATCAGGCTTGCTGCTGGAATTCCATTTTTGAATCAAATGTTACGCAAACATTTTCGTATGTTTTAGGTATTCAGTGGCAAGGAACAGCTATTAAGATTCCAGTAAAAATAATTGAAATTTAACCTGAAAAGTAGAAGATCTTGAAGAAATTTTTGATGTTCTATACGAATCTGAAGTTAAAATATTGATTAGAAAAAATATTTAGCCTCATATTCTCCAAAATAATGAAAACGATTACATTTGAAGTTGGAGAAAATAGTCAGAAATACGTATTTTCGTATTTTGCGAATTTATCTCTTATTATCCGGTCAATGATAGACTTTTCGGTGATCAAAATGATCAATGTAAAAAGTTCTATTGTATAATGCTATTTGAAGGCCAATCGAATATACTTCATGTAACGGTGGAAGGAACCCCACGGAATTATCCAAATATGTTATATGAGTCTTGACAGAGAAATTTTATTTGCCAAATATGCTACTTTTAACTCTTATTTGGTGAATATTTCAGTCAAACGTCATGGCACCGAGCTGAAAATTTTACCATAGTCTCTCCACTATAGTCCCAATATGTTCTGAAAATTTCAGTCAATTTGGATGTACCTAGAGATTGAGATCAATTTTCGAGAGGCCTTAAAAGGTGTTAAAGCAGATGAAAAATATACGTTCAAAAGAAAATGTGTTCAATAATCCTATTTATTTGTTACTTAAGTGTGTTTCTTGATCTTGCACAATTCTATTTATTTATTGATTAATTGTTTTTCTTGATTCTGTACAATAAAGAGCAAAACTTTTATGTAAAAATTCTTCCCATGTCGCACATTTCTTCTCAGTACCGCCGTTAGCACCCTCAATTTCCGGTTCCAGAACTAAATTCTTGAGAAGAGCATTTCCTGCCTAAATTTGAATTTGCTATTAACAAACATTCAAAATGAGAGAGAAAAAATTTTTTTTACAAGTTTTTTCAGCAATAATAATATTTGCGGCGCCCTCTATTTTGAAAAATTGATCTCAGCACTGCGACTGATTTGGGCTCTGTGGCTAGTACAGGCAGCTCAGGCGCATCAACATTATCTGAGAACACCGAATTTCACGAAATTTTGACGATTTTATCAGACTTAAAAAATATTCAGCCGTTTTGATACACTATAACACGATGCGCTACTCCTCGAAAAAACCAACGGTTTTTTCCGGTTCGAATCGCATGGATTAATTAGTACACTGGAACAGAGTTTAAAAATAGCTTTATATGTCACACATACTTCATGCTTTTTTTCTAGTCTTTATAAATGATTTTCTGCTTTTCACACTTCAAAAGGTGGCAGCACTACTTGCGTCATTGAATATGCTCGACCAATAATCATCATCTAAAGTTGTTTTATCTCAAATGACAGCATGTTTCTAATTTCTGCTTGTTGAACACAAATAATTGTAAAAGCACTAATGAAAAATTGTAATAACAATGAATATAATCAGTTTAATGGTACTTTTTGAAAAATCATCATCAATAGTCTTCATGGCAAACATTTTCTGTGGCGAGTTTCAATCAACAAATATTTTGTTTATCAAAAAGAAGACTCTTCTGAAGTAAATCTTTCTTGATTTGCTTAGTTTTTTTTTCGCTGTTTTTCATGAAAAAGAAAAATGTCAACGAACAACATAATTCTTGGAAACAAGACGTTCTTTTTCTTCTCACACATTACTTCATACATTTCAATCAATACGATTGTGATGCATTAAACATATTTTGAAATGAATTACGCATATAATTGCAGCCGAACAAATACTTCCATAAAGAAAAATTCTAATGAACTCGAAAAACTTATCCATAATATTTCATGTTCGTAGATCATCATCAAAATGAATATCTAATTTTCTCAATCTTTTAGAAGATCTTTTTTTCCACAATAGTGTCAGAAACGAATAGAAAATGAGCCAGCAGGCTACTTATGTCAAACGACTAATTTTGGATTATACGAGTTTTAGAGATACAGGAAAGAAGGCGTTTGAATTGCATTAAATAAAATTATATTTGACAAGATACTAATAATGCTATTTTTATCTGAAAGAATTTGATGAAAGCGTTGACCGTGATGAGTTAGCTGTTATTGTCATATCTGGGGATGTCCCTGGCAGGTATTGAAATTAGATTTTCTTTGAAGATGTCATAGAGAAGATAGAGAAGAAGAAGAGAGCACAAAATCACAGAGTGATAGTGCATTTGATTTATCTTATTGCGATTGAAGCAGACTCGTATAAGAGCTCAGCCGATTTTACAAAAAATATAATATCAGTCTTTGAAGTAGCTCTTCAAATCAAATTTTGGAATCTAATTATTTTATTTTCAATCGAAGTTCCAGCAGCGTTACTCAATGCAATAATATTCATTAGCATAAAATCGCTTCGTCGATCTCCATCAACTTATTATATTGTGGGACAATCATTATCCGATGTGAATATCTTATTGATTTTGCTTCTTCAAATAATTTCATCTACGTCATCATCGGTTTCATCCATTGCTTGTAAGTTAATGTTGTTTTTTTTTCAAGTGACAATTTCTGTTGCGATGAGTTTTCTTTGTTTGTCTGCATTTGATCGTTGGGCATGTACATCTCAATCGACTCGAATACGTCAATTGAGTTCGATTCGCGTAGCTCGTCGTGTCTTTCCTATTCCATTTATTCTTTGGTCATTTGTTAATGTTCCTCTTCTGGTGTATTCTGATCTTGTACCAACAACACTTGCATGTTGGTTCACGAATGATCTCTTTATGCGAATAGGAATTCTTTTTTTGTCTCCAATTCTAACTGTTCTTCTTCCTTTGATTGTTCTTATACTGTTTGGACTGTTGACATATCGTAACATTCATTGTGTAACCCATGTTCGTCAACAACCAAATCAAAATCGTCTATCAAACTGGGAACAACAAATGAAAAGAATGATGTTAATTCAAACTCTTCTAAGTATCTTTTGCACACTTCCTCGAGCTATTTTCGTCGTTTATACGATCTTTACAATCGATGAGAGTGTAACAAGAAGCTTTGATCAATTGTACATTATACTTCTCGTCGATAGCATCACTGTCTCTATTATTTCTGTGAATTTTGCTTCATCTTTTTACATATTCCTTCTTTCATCATTACGTTTACGACAAATGATTCGAATGTATTTGAAACGTCTATTTAATCTGCGACATAATCGAGTAGGTCCAACAAATATATTACTCACAGCACCAGCACTTACTGCTCGTCAAACTACAAGAGTCATTGGTCAATCGATGGTTGAAAATGAACGATTTTGACGATCACCTATAGCAACAGTCACTGCTCAAGAAACTTTTCTTTTTAAAAAATTTTATCTCTTTAAATTCTAAATAAAATTTTCTCAAACATAGAGAATACATTTTATTTTACATGATGTCAAAATCTTTATTTAATTTGAATAAAATGACATAAAACAATCATTGCCCTACATCATTGTCTTCTGATTTTTCAAGCTAAGAAGATGATGAATGAAAATGACATTATTCTTTCGATCACTTTGTAAAATGAGTGTCTTGCACAAAACACAAAATAAGATTGAAACACCACTTCCAATTAGTGATTCAAACGCTATGTTAGATAGTTTAGCTATGATGATGCCACTTTATTAGAAATCATCCAGGAATATGGTAAGATGATCACGAATGGCAATATCGTCGAATGGAATTTCAACATGATGAACATACCAACAATATATCATTAGAACTTTTTTCTTTTCGAATTTTATGAATGCTCGACATGTTGATGATTAAATAATCAATATTAAGAACAATTATCAATAGTAAAATAGAATTGATCCTAGTAGAATGCAAAAGAAAAATATTTTTGATATTGAGAATGACTCTTGAAAATGTTTGTTTTATGGTCAAACCGATGAACATACATGTCAGTTGCTAGCATGTAACTTTGCATGATTGCAATCATTTGGATAGTAACATTTCGAACCACTGTGTGAAAAGAGATTGGAGAAATGATATCGACCAGTTTCCATTCCCATTTTAAGGTCATATGCGTCATTGCTACTGAATTGCAAGAATTCCTGAATCATCGGTCTTGACAAACCTGATTTTTTTTTGTGAGTAGGTATCTACTTCAACCACACTCCCTAGTTCTTCCGCTTCAGGTAAAATAATACAACTTAATACATTTGATTATCAATAGCCTGGATGCCTATAGCAAAGAGGAAATACTATTATATTTTATTCTGTTTAGATAACTAAAATGAATATTCACTAAAATGTTCGACAATAGTTCATTGTATCAGACAGTGTCGATATAGAAAGTAATGTCATGCAAGAAAGTACTTCTTTTCCAATATTATGCAATACATTCCATATTATTGTTCTACGAAAATTCATCAGAGAACTCGAAGTTCATGTTTGCTACGAATGATTTTTATCATAGCAACCAAAAGACTGTCGAGAACTTTCATATGTTTAGGGTGGAATGTGAGTGATTTGTTAATCCGCGCCGACACTCACATTCAAAATATCTGTTAAAAATATTTCTTTCATTGTCATAGAATAAAAAATAAATAAATTAAGAAATCATTTCATTTAATAGGAAAGATCCTTCAAAGTCTGAAGTTTTTAAATAAAGAATTTCATCGAAACTAATTCATAGTCAATTCCAAATAAGATGGATGAATTTTAATATATCTACGAAGACTATTCTTCTCAGTCACTTAGAGAATAGGATGTGTTTTTAATTCTGATAGTCTCATGTTTCAAGTTATACTTTCAAATTAAGAAAAATGCATAATGCAGAATTATTTCTTCTTTAACAACAATAGAATTATTTTGATTTTATATTAAACAATAACTTCATTGAATAAATATCATTCTTTTTATTTTTTCTGACAATTTCTGGTATTGACTTCAGAAAATTGTTCATTTATGGTTATCGAGAATGTGGGTGTGATGGTGTGAGTGTGTAGATATTTCTTTTGTCTTCGTCTCACACCCACACCCCTACTTAGTTTACGTTTAAGATATTGTAAAAAAAAACTTTTCATTAAAACGTATTTAACTATATTGTAAATAGACGGACAACAGAACCTAAATCAAGAGACTAAATAAAAATTTAGTATACTGCATGTCACTTATTGAAGTCATGGAATGGAACACCTGTTTATTTAGAAGATGAGAAGGAGAACTCTGAATTCTTCACGTCCAAATATCTGTAATCAAATTTCTTAAAATACTAAATAATGTTCTCGATAACGTTTGAAAGTTACTTTTGTTGGGAGAGTAGTATTGCTTTTCGATTAGTTGAACAGACACAAGTATTTTTATGTGAATGACTCTTTCTTTCAAAAACAAAAAGGAGTAACTCACTTTTGTTTTTATTATTTTTCAAAAACTTTGAAGAATTAACACGTCGTTCGTAGTTTGATCATCTAAAATCTCTGTTTTTTTATTCAAAATCCAAATGAGTCAAACTATCAGAATTGAACGAAAAACAAATTTTGATCAATTGAAAACATCATTTTATTTTATTTATTAAATAAATGTTACAAGAAAAAAGATCTATATGTTCAAGCCATTTCCATTGTAAATAGACATCATTCAGTATACGTTTAACTGTAAAATGAGGAAGTAGTTTGCCCCTAAATAATCAAAGGGTTCATATTTTTCGAAACGGCTTGCGTCAAAATTCTCAGAATGATTCCCTCTATAACATACGTTATATGGAGCAAAATCTGACTACCTCGTCTTGGACAAATGGGATCGAGGTTTAGATGCCCTGGCTCATAGAAAGGTCTATGCATCTCAGATACACCCCCCAAAGATGACCTCCGGTGCAAGCCATTTCTAGAGATTCCACGCTAATTTTTTTATGAGCATGTAGCCCTAAGAGAGTACTTCCAACTTATCAAGGCCAACTTCCCAGGCAATCCATTTCTTGGGAGAACGCGAACCCAGAAAAACCTAATTTTCCTCGAAAATCGGTTTTTCAGAAGACTCTCCTGAACGAACGGAACATGGTAGACCGCTGAAATTTTCAGGGGATATATATCTTTTAGTGCTCTATCTATGCTGAAAATTTCAGGCTTCTATATCATTCCAATCAAAAGTGATGAAGCACAAAAGTCATCAAAAATTAGCATTTTTCCGTATATTGTGTGCTTCATAAAATCCCAATGGCTCAGTATTTCTCAATAAAACTTTTATGGCAAATAGAACTTACTGAGATATATGTCTACAAAAAATTTCAGCTCAATCTGTTGAGCCATTCGTCAGATATCATTGCATTAGGAGCCCCGTTTTTGACATGGGTCATTTTTAAGACTTTTAGTGAAATGCTCATAAAAAATCGAGGGATCAATATTTTTCAAAACAGCTTGCGTCAAAATTCTTAGAATACTTCCCTCTATAACATATGTTAAATTGAGCAAGATCTGACGACATCGATTGAGCAGAGTCGGTCGTGGCTCACATGGAATGGCTCATAAAAAAACGAGTAATCACAAAAGTGTAAGGAGACAAAATCTTTTATTCACTGATTCTAGAAGTTTATCGAATTTTTAGTCACAATACAAGATAAATGGAATGAAAGCCATATATTTCGCTAGAGTTATTAATTCTCTGTCCAACCATATCAAAATAGGAAAAATTTATGATTTTATAAAAATACAGTAAACAGAGTAAAACTGAAAAACAAAAAGTACCGTAATCAATGTGTATATTATTAATAACATATAACTGTTTAGATGTTTATCATAGGATTGAAGATAAATATTCTATAGTTTATAATAGTAAATAAGTTCACCTGCTTCACCGGGTGCTGATTGTTCACTAGGTATGAAAAGAGTCACGATTAAAATATTTTGACCCTTCCATGTAGTGAGTGTTATTGTTGGATTAGCAAATGCTTGGCTTCCACCATCTGTGATAATTGATACTTGATCAGCATTGCCTGTTTGTGGATCGAATACAAATGTGCGCCAAGTACCAAAATCCTTTGATTTATATTGTCCTTCGATCACAGTAAATGCAAAATCATTAAAATTCGAAAGTGCATCTCGGTCACCAATATTGCCTTGTACACCATAATGAAGTAATGCATTATCAAAGTTAGGTTGTTTACGAAATTGAGTCCATAGATTAAAATTTTTCAAAGTAGCTCGAGCTTGTCGATCAACAATACAGTTATCATAAAAATGAAACCCAACGTCAATATTATTTAGTGTTGGTTGACCATATATATTAGGAGTACCTTCAGCACAGCGAGATAATGTGCGTGGAACAGAATAGGTTTTTTGTGAAGTACCAGCTTGTAAATCTGACCATGTTGGATAATAAGCAAATCGTAAATGATTATTAGGTTCTTGTTCCCATGCAACAATATAACCTTGAGGTTGATCACTAGGTACAGCAATTGTTGGTTGTGAACCAAAATAAGCTAATTCTCGAAGCCATGTCCAATGTAGAAGATCATCTGATAAAGCTAAATTAACTCTTGGTACACCATTGATATATGTATGATAGACACCAATAAATTCTTCACTATCAGTTCGTTTAATAATTTTAACGCAATCCATTGTATTTCCAAGATGATCACGTGAGCTATATCGACGTCCATCAGCTTGACGAACATTACCAATGAGTGCTACAAGTTTATGTCGTGCATCATCCGAAGGGGATTGTGCGTGGGTAAGAGTTGAAATACTGCTTATTAGTACAAAGATTATTGACCACATTTCGCTAGTTCTTGTCATATAAAGGGTGTAGCAGTAAATATGTATATATATATATAAGAATTATCGACAGCTGTGCTATTGTCTCACGAAAGATTTTATCAATAGAAAACAGTAAAATAATACGAAGAAAAAAAGTATCATGCGTGGGATAAAGTGGAGATGACGATAGATCAGTATAATTAAGCTACTCTTGCTACATGCTAAAGATAACTGGCAATTTTATTTGAAGAAACCAGTTTTATCTTTGCAATCAACTTTTTCGTTAAATATTTTGACAATATATTTTTCTGAGTATGAGACAACAAAGAAATGTTTTTATGCCATGGCATATATTCATTATTTAGTTAAGTGGAGAAAGATTCAAAAGAATAGTAGTTACTCTATTATATGAATAGCTCGCAATTTTGTAAGGTTGAGTTTCGAAAATAATATTCTCTGAGAATTGGTTGCTATGGATTGATTTTGACATGTCTTCTCATTTGGTTCTACTTACCTTCCATTCATATTAACAAGTAACGCTCATACGACAGATTCATTGAACCTTTTCTAAAAGATATGAAGATGTTGGTCCGCTTAAAGAAAGGAATGGTGGTTCAAACCTTGTCATAGTTATTCGATCGTTAGTATTGCCAATCGTTGCACACAAAAACTCATATTTTATTCATATTTTCCTGCAAGACCTCTCACTTGAAGTTAAAAGTTTACCTCTGAGTTAGTCATACAATGATCTATTTGATATCAATCTAAATTTAAAGAAAAAAAAAACAACACTCAATGTCAAATCGAAGTGGTGGTCTAGGAATCTTTAGAATTATTTATTATTATATATATCAAACTAGTTTTACTGATATGAACGACTATTTCTATAATGGAATCACTGTATATCATTGTAATTTATTATATAGTTATCTTCATTTCGTATTATTTATATCATATCTTTTGCAGACACAAAAGAGATGACGAAATGAGTCCATTATGAGATACAGAGTACATCTACAGTTGATTCAAGGTATCTATGTCTGATGCACATCTCATTAGTGTACCAAGCTGATATATAATTTGTAGTTCTATGAAATTTTACGTCCATCGATCGATGCCAAAAGAGGAAATACTTATAGAAATAAATAGTAAAGGAAAAGCTGTCAGCGCAATTCTTACGGGATTAATATATTAAACATGATGGAACTACTTTAACTATTGTGGGGGACCCAAGAAGAAAAAGCGAAAACTCTGTATTTCAGCATACTCCAAAGATGTGTCAAAGTTATCCTCTAGAGCTTCTTAGCTATTTCAAGTCTACTATCAACGTATGTCACGAGCGTGTTAGTTTGAGTCCATTTTATATAAGTCTGTCTAATATTGAAGTTCAAATACTTTATTGTACTTCACTGGAACTTAAATCTTGAAGTACAATGAAGTATTTGAACTTTATTACCAGACAGACTTATACAAAATGAACTCAAACTAACATGCTCGTGACACAAGTTGATATTAGGTTCGAAATAGCTAAGAAGTTATAAAAGATAGCTTTGGTGTATCCTTGAAGTATGCTGAATTATGGAATTTTTGCTTTTTCTCTCTCTTGAGGAAACCTCATCATCTATATGATATACAATGACTGCACCAAAAACCAGTATGTTGGAAAACTCGCTAGATCGTTACAGGCATATCAACCTCTGTGTCACAGTCTGTCAGTAGGTTAAAAGAACATCGCCATGTTTGTCGCCGCCTTTGAGGCAAGCTGAAGAAAATGAAATCAATTTTCAAACTATCTCGATGATCAACAAGTTCACAAACTTACTAAAACATAGTATTATGACAGACTTTTTTTTATAAATGTTACTTTAGCTGTTTCTAATCAATCGAATACTTACTCGTTTGCGTTTTCTCAATTATTTCATCTATGACATATTTGCATGTAAACAAAAGTAAATGACACTTTTTCACTTGAACAAAAATTCAGTCCATTTTGGAAAAAGATCTTTAGATGAATTTTCTGCAAAAGAACTAATATCAATTTTACAATTAACAAGTTTGTTATTGATTAATAAGTTTTCTCGATGGCTTCAAGGTACACGAATAGCTCGAGATGATAGATTACTACGGAAATCTATCATTAAGCAAACTTGAGATATTTCATGTCTTAATGGATCACTACTCATTCATGTTCATACTAGAAGTATTCAATATATTAATCACAAGTTCAAGTATCATCACTATTGACATTCATACTTGAATCAGAAGAAGTTGAATATTAAAAAAAAATCATGTTAATGATTTTCTCGGAAGCATCTATAATCAATTTTTCTTTTCCAAATAAATAATTACAATAAAAATAAACCAAAATCTAAAGAAGTCAAAGATAATAGACATAAGAAAAATGCCTATGAATACAAAGAATTGAAGTAAATCAAATTAAAATATAGGATTGTCACCATTAATACGTTCTAAAAGTAGATGCCAAGCATGTTCAACTTGTTTTTGTGTAACACTTTCTGCCCAATAAGTACAAAGAAGTACGTTAGCATATGGAAATCGTTCTTGATTTGACATTTGATTACTTAAACGACGTTTTGCTTCGTCAGATGATAAGTGATCTCGTTCAACAACACGTCGAATAGCCTGAAGAAAAAATAAATACATCGATTAATAGATGAATATATAAATTTTAAATAAACGAAAATCAATACTTCTTTTGGAGGAATAGATGCAATCCATATTTCATTTACTGCTTCAGTCCATTGTGCTTCAAGTAATACAGCTGCATCAAGTACAATTATACGTTTACCTAATAGAATTTTTTGAAAAATCTATCAAAAAAACAAAAATTTTCCTTACTACATACCTTCTTTAAATAAATATTCAATTCGTTCTTTTGTCAAATTTAAAATAGCAGGCCATACAATATCCGTTAGTTTTTTAAGTTCATCAGATGATTGAAAGACTTTATTACCAAGTATTTTTCTATCAATTGATCGATCAATAGGATTGACAATTTCTTCACCAAATGTTGCAATTATTTTTTTATAAACATCAGTATCCACTTTATATGTTTCATGACCTGTATATATTGAGCAAAATAATTTTTTTATTGATGAAATTTTTCATAATTAGAAAAATAAAATACTCGCCTAATTTATCACAATTAATAATAGCAGCACCAAGTTTTTCAAGTCTTCGAGCAATACTTGATTTTCCTGAGCCTATACCACCAGTAAGACCAATTACATAGGGTCGATTTGATTCAGCTGATTTCTATATTCATTAATAAATAATTAGAAGATGAAATTATAGAAATTATAAAATGAAATTACTAATGGTGGTTTAAGAAGAATACCAAGCCTTTGTCGTCGAAGTGAAGTTGAACTTAATTTATTATCTCCATCTTGATTATCATTTTCAGCTGGAACCATTGGTATGACATGAACAGCTAATTGAGATAAACCATTTTCTTGTCTTTCTTTATTAACTTGTGAAGCACCTTCTTGTGTTTCATCGGTAACAATAATACACTAAATGATCGTATTTTTATCTTTAAAAGTACAATTGTTCTTTTAAAAAAAAACCAAACTTTACATTTAAATCAGCCATTGTTGCTGATGGACCACATGGATCTTCGATTGGTTCACAGTGTACATAAAGACTAGGTCGAATTAAATCAACAAATGAACGAACATTTGACATACGATCATTTATTGGTTCAACTACTTCAGCTAATACCTAAATAAATGCAATTTATTGTGAGTCTATGATCTATCAAAACTATTAAAATGTTTTTTTTTTATTTTTAAATTTATCAAAATTCTTGTTCAAGAAACATGACTCAAAATAAGTTCTAACAAAAATTACTTTGTTTTTTATCATGACACCATCGGTTACACCAATAACTATTTTTTCGTCACAAAGTAAAGCACTTTCAGTTAATAATAATTTATGACCATTATGTAATCGATCAAATGTACCTAAAAGCAAAAATCATAAGTTTAATTTTTACGACATATTTTAACTTACCACCCAAAACTCCTCGATTATATTGACTGGTAGATTTCGTATTAAATAAATCATTATCAAATATAGGTAGTTTATCAATTGATTGATCTTCTTTCGTTTCTTTTTCATCAATAATTCGAAGTTCAAAATTTTGATCTAATTGATAAAAATGATCTCGACAATAGTTATATAATCCTGGTGATGGTGAACAATCAGCAAAAACTGCTTCACATATACGAGGTAATCGAATAGGATTTGTAGATTTTATTGCTGAATCAACATTATGAAGAAGAATATCAACTGAAGGATTTTTTGTTGATGTTAATTGTTTATAAATAGCATATAACATTGGACGTATACGTTCTTTTTGTTGTTCACGATCAAAGAATTTTTCAGATGATGATGATGATGATGATTGAAAATTTGGATTTTGAACAACAACATAAAGATTTCTTTCAACATAAGGTATAACAGACGAAAGAAGAAATGGAATACGTGAACGAATTGGATTTGTAATTAATAAAAGTGCTGTTTGGAATCGACGAATATTTTTTTCAGTCATAATAATTCGTTTGGAATTAAATAATACGTCAATAAAGTATAAATAATAACATTAATAAATAATACAATGACATAAACCTATAATATTCTCTAGAAGAAAAAAAAATATATAATCAGAATAATCATATTTTTGTTAAGAAATAAATAAAATTTTTCATATCATAATCTCATGTGAAAATAATATTAAAACAAGAAAAAAAATTAAAGCCTTCCAACAACGTACTATTTCTTGTTAAGATTTCGATTAGTCGATCTTATTGTCATATTTATAATTTCTTTTGTTCTTCCTTATCAATCTTTCATAAAATTAGTTCATTGAACAATTCAAACTTTTCTTTCTAACAACAGCACAAATCTAATTGTTTTCTAAATTGTTCAAACCAAGATCCAAATTCGTTCTTACACTTTTGATATTACAACAAAATACATATTCATCTAAAAAAGTTGAA